CTTCCAAATCATTTCAGTGCCTCGCACTTCAACACCTGTAAAACATTTCTCTGGCTCTACCTGTTTCCCAGTCTGATGCACAGGTGTCCTTCAAAGATGCTACCCAGCATTTTTGCTCTCTTACTGGATGGAGGAGCCACCTTACAGCCTTCATCGTCAAAAGTCTTTAATTCTTCATTGACATACTGGTAGCTACAGAAAGATTTCATTTTCATTTTCCCCTTCGTAGTGTCTTTGGAGTATTTGTTCTTCCATGCTCTCATAATTCTGAGTACCCAGTTTGAGTCATGTTGAAAACGTATAATTTTCCAGAAGCCATAGACATATGATTATCTTGATTCCTGCCTCTTTTGACATTTCAAATTGTCACCCAAAATCTGTATGGTATTGTGATGATCATGCTTTTATGCAGCATCTTAAGGATTACAAGGCCAATATTACCATTTCGCTAACGCCTTTTGCTTCCCTCTCCAAATACGCATCGAAGAGAGAATTTTAAAGGAGTAAAATAACCTCCAACAGCAAAGTCTAAAAGATCCTCAGGCTAGAAGAGTTTCCTGGGACATGGGATAAGCTGGATGTTCAACTTGCCATGCCAGATCAAGGCAAGGAGCTGAGCCTGGGGCCACACCACAGGTGAGGTCTCTAACTACCAACCTCCTGGCAATAATGTGAAGTCCTCTCTGCGTAGCTGGGCGTGCATGGGACGTGAAGAAGTGTCCGTATCACCATGTTTGTTGGCCCAAGGGCTGTGAGTAAGCAAGGTTTTGCACTTGATTTTAACACAAATATGTGTGTGTTTCCTTCTTATTTTAATTAACAAAATATCCATACGAAGACTGATTATCATTTACCTCTAGTTGAGACCAACAGAGATATACAGCGACAAATTCATGATGAAAGCAAATATTTTGGGTGGGAAAGAACTCTGAAAGAAGTGCAACAGATTTTCTCCATCCTGGCCTTTATGACAAATGATTTCCGTTGCATCAGAACAACATTTTTTCGCTCTACCATGGAAAAGTCAGAAAAACAGAACATCCTCCAAGCAAGCACAGCAAAAAATACACACATCAGGCATGGAGGTTGATGGGAAATTTGTTTATTCAGAGGGGGTGTGTTGGATTTGCTACTTGAGAGAGGTTTTTTTTTTTTTTAAGAGAAGGATTAAAACATCAAGTTTTGCTAGAATGAGAGGAGTCAAGATTCCCTTAGAGCTTCCTCTGCTTTCTAATGGTTTTGTCTAGAAATATGTTATGGGAAGCTATTCTAATCATCAGTCTGAGAGCAGGATGTGAAGATGCCACTGATGAGAACACCCACTAATACTCAAATGCTAGCAGACTTGCAATCATTTAAAGAACTCATTAATCTAAAGAAAATACTTAGAAAGAAACTTTCATAATTAGAATTGGTGTGCAGCCAGCTTTGCTGAAATGAGAGTGCATTTCTTCTTTCTCTGGTTTGACCCAAGACACCTTGATGGACGACAGTGTCTTTGATGGAATGAAATAATTTGCAGTAACTTTGGGTACAGTTAACCTGATAATGCCATTCTTTAAAACGGCTGTATTTCACAGGCTTCCTCACTAAGATTTCAACAGGTAAACAGCACATGGCCACTGATTTGCCTCTGGTGAGCTCCGGTTCAAAGCCAACGGAGGAAATGAAAGATACTGCATTTTGTCTGTACCTCTTAAGGAACGGCACTGTGGTCCTCAAAACAATTTCTCTTTATCATCTCAGCAAAACCTTCATTAACATTATCTGACAGCCGAAAGTGAAAGGCACTAACACAACATCTCAGCAGAACGGAGACAAAGGGAGCAGAGTGTGCAGCGTACAATTTGCTTCAGAAAGGGTTATCTTTAGAGGACGTTGCTTTATCTGAAACTGTTAATTTAACTGCTTCAGGAGGCAGCGTACGAGGGAGTTTCTTCCCTCAAGAGCTGTGTGCAAACCCTGTTGTTTTGCAAGGGATCCGTGTACATCCAAACCAACGAGCAAGCACCCAGCTTGTTTTTGTTGGAAGGATTTACGACTACTTTTAAGTTATACAGGCCAAAAGAAAAAAAAAAAAAGAAAAAAAAAAATCAAAGTCAGTTATGACTAAATGGCTTCCTCGCCGCAATGGCAGCTTTAGTCTGTTTTTTATTTTAAGAACAAACATCTCCTTCTGTGCCAATGCTCACTGGAAGGGGAGGAAATCAAGTAACAGCGGAAAAACAGAGAACATATTAAATGCTTATGCATATTAGGAGGCTTCCAGATAAATCCTGGGAGCTAACAAATGGAAAGCAATGCACTGAGACCATTAGTGGCACCTGCTATCCCACCACTCCCTCATCACCACATGGCAATTGCAGAAACTAGTTATTTACAACCTGCAGAAGCAGAGAACAGGCATTACTAGTTATTTACACCCTGGAGAAGCAGGGAACACACATTACACAGCACTTCCACGCGGGCACATTTTGCACCATCTCTCAGGTGATATATGTTCTCCCAAGCCGTCATATCTGGTCATCTTGCCATTTCGCTATATTTATCCCCACTTTTTAAGGGTCTCGGAAAAGACTGATGGAGGAGAACAGAGCTGACCTGAATACACCTCGGTGTCACGTCGGCGCCTCAATGCCTGAATCTGCTCTTTAAACACAGCCTCATCTGCTGCCTCTATTGTTTATTGATCCACATAATTTCTGACTTTCAAAAAGGATAAATTACTTTTGTTACTCATTTATTTACTTGTATTTATTTTTTTCTGAAGGGTTCTCTCTAGGTTTGGATTTTTTCATTATTACTAAATGAGTGGCGGTCGTGTGACATCATTCACAATGGCTTTGAAGTCAGGTGTGGTGGGTAGTCACAGACTTGGCAGTCAGCCACAAAGATAGGAAAATGCCCAGAAAAAAATCAAGAGCTGCTGAAGGTAAGGTAGCATCCATGGAATAAAGCACGTACAATAAAGGCACGCTCAGATAAATGCATAGTGAAATTTAGTGAATTTTAAAGTGAACAAATTTCATCTGAGCCCTGATGATGCTTTGAGACAACTTTGCATTTCTTTCTGGGTAAGGTTAGGGGATTTTTGTCTAATCCTGGGACTGGTAGTCCACCTGACAGAAGATGTGAACTGCATTTACCAAACGCTTCTCCTGCAAGGCTTAGATGCTATTTCAAGTAAATACTCTTTTCTCTTCAGCTGCTGTGTGAAAATCCTGATACACAACAACAAAAAGAGAGATGAAATAGAGAGAAGCAAAGAGCTACAGGCAAAATGCTAAGAAATATATACACAAAGTGAAATCCAAACCCTGATACGAATTTCTCTCATATTTCACTCCTAAATTTAGCATCACTTTTAGTAAAGATCTGTCAACCAAGACCGGAAGAAAGGTTTTTTTCTAAAAGACAGTTCTTCCCCTTTAAGAAAAATAATAAGGGGAAAATCATAGCAGGTAGCAATGCATTGGGGCTAGAAAGGGAGCTGTGCTTCATTTATTTAATGGGTTGTTGCTCGTTGCGGTCCCTTCTCAGAATTAACAGGGCCACGCAGCAGAGAGGAAAAAAGAAAAAAGTCACCTGAAATGCTTTAATGATATTTTGTTCAACATCTTGCAGCTCCTAGGCATCTCATAGGCATGGTCTTCTATAAATAAAAATGTGAGGGCATATTATTATTATGCTATGACTCATGAAATTTGTATCTGCAGGGAGCTAGGGACTTTGGCTTTTCCTCTAGGCTCTCCGGTGCTGTGTGCTGGGTCAATTAAAATATCGAGATTTCTTTTCACACAAAGCCTTTCCTCCTCCTTTGCTTATTCCAAGCGTGTGTTTCACTCATATCTTCCCTTCGCAACCTCATCACCATTGTAAATCACAGCAAATTAATGTCGATGCTATGTTCCTGAAACCAGACTGCCTTTGCCTCTTGACAACAAAACCCCTAAGCCAAATGTCAAAAATTCAAATGTAAATACAATATTACAAATAAATCCACGGACATCTCCTGATAAACTCCTGCAGACCTAGGCTGATGCAATGCTCTCTCCCTGACCTCCAGAACAGAAATAGCTTCTA